GACATGGTGAGCCAAATTCTGGAGCGTTTGCTTCCGAGTATAAACCTCGTTAATAGAGAGCAGCTAACCTACTGGAGCACCATCCTCAGAAGGAGTTATTCATGGCTCCTCTGCCTGCCCTGCTGCATGTTGAGCAGCTTGAACAGGCTGGCATTTTTTATTCCACAAGAGGACAAGGCGTTGGAGCCCACAGGGCAAGGAGGAGGTGTCCCGTGCCTTATGAAGATAAGGAAGGCAGGGTCTGGGATTCTGGCTCTGTGACTGCACGGGGCCAGAGAACGTAAAGATGAGGAATTGGATAAATGCCCAAAGGGAGAGAAAATTGGTTTTAGCTAAGGACAGTAAGGCCTTATGTCTGTCCTGAGAGCTGGCCTCTCAGCCAGGTCCAACATCCATGGGGTAGGGGTGCTGGGCTGGCCCGCAGGGTCCCTGTCAGAGGGCAGAGGAGGCTTTCAGGCTGTGCAGGATTTTGCAAAGGAGGAACAGCAGGCTTCCCCTCCGCAGCCATCTCCCTCCCACCGCCCCGCAGGGCTCTAAGTGGGCCATAAATGTTTTCAGCATGGCACTTTACCAAGCATACGCCATAAATTACAGTCCCGTGCCGATAATAAGTCAGGTAATAGCACCACTTTTTTGTCCTGCCAACTGCACAAAAGGTGGCAGAGGGGAGCAGGAAGGCGGGGGGACGCCTATTAGCACCAGGCTGGATTTTACATGCAATGGAAAGTGTTTGTTCAGCTGGAAGTGAGAACGGTCCTTAACCCAAGAGCACACGCTAATGAAAACAGAGTGTGCGGAGGGGGAGAGGGGCAGCGGCACAGAGTGGCGATTCACGCTCCGGCACAGGTGCGAGGGCCACGAGGACCAGGCCCGGGGTCAGAGCACCCACCGAGCCTGCTTTTGCTCTGGCTTCATTTCACACCTTTTCGAAACGCTAATTGCAGGCTCTGCTTTGCCCTCGGGGGGAACAGAGACAGGCCTGAGAGCACCCAGCGCCGTGGGTTTTGGGGTGAAGCCCCTTTGCCAAGCAGAGTTAGGGACCTGCCCTGGCCACCAGGCTGGGACTAGGGGGCACCTGCTCCAGACTGGGCGATGCTCCCTCTCCTCTTTCTTCCCCAGCGTGGGCCCAGCCTGTTCTCAGCTTTCTAGAAAGCAAAACCACGAGATCACAGCACTTGGTTTTGCACTTGTTTGCCCCATGAAGTCTGCTGGGTCCTCACCGCTCCCGCTCCATCATGCTGGTAGAAATGCCCCCCAGGGCCGGGCACAGCCCAGCCGGCTGCTGGGGCATGGGATGTCAGCACCCAAGGAGCCTGGTGAACACCGCTAAGTCCCCCAAGAAGCAGCAGAGGGGCTGGTGCAGAGGGGTACGAGGTGAAGAAAGGGACCAAGACAACATCAAAGCCAGTGAGGGGCCTAAATCCAGCCAACACATATTTATCCATCCAGGTCTGCAGCGTGTGCATCACCAACAGCCCCCGGACACTTCTGTGGTATAAACCCCTTTTCAGAAAGAACCAAACTCCTTCAAAATCATCCTCTCAGGGAAAACCTTGGGAAAACAGACGGGCATTCCCTGAGACCCCGCAGGTCAGCAGGCAGGCACTCCACGGGTGGCAGAAAACTTGCAAGATCCCTCTGCAATGAATTTTCCTCCTCCAGCTACCAGAGGCTGGCAAGAGTGCCCAGCAGCTGGAGGCATCTCTGTGGGTCTGACGCTGCAAGATATCTCGTGTAATAGATGTAGACAAAGCCACATGCTTAAGAGGCAATCGTCAGGCATTTTGGGAGGCAATACACTGAGGGGATGCCGTATTTTGCCACACACAGCTATGTCCTGGTCCTCTCTTGGAGGGTGATTAAAGCCAGCCAGGAGGGAGGCTGCTGAGTCCACCCTAATGAACCCCCTGTGCCTACCAGAAGGATTGCCTAGGACCAAAAGCTGGCACTTCCCATGGCATCTGTGCTATGACAGGATGAGTGCCTGTCCCTGGCAGGCAGGAGGTGCCATGGGAGAGGGAAGTGACAAAGAGTTTGGAAAAGCCAACTGCAATATGTCCAGCTAAACACAAAGTACAGGGTGTGAGCCAGAGAAATGAGTGGCCACCCTAAAAACAGTTCCCCTGGACTTCTTGCTGAAACGTCCACCAGCACACTCCTGATTTTGGTAGGTTTTAATCTTTGCCAGGAAGAACATCAGCAGATCATCCAGGGGGAGGGATCCAGATCTGGCTGCTGCAGATGGCTAAGAAGGTGATCACACCGCTGGGCAAGCATCCCAGCATCCTTTCTATGTGACACGTAAAGGATTCACTTAATTATCCCACGGTAATTCCCGGTTTTACCCACAGGAGGTCACACTTTGCCAGGCTTATCAGCTTTGGATGCAACCAGCCCTGTGCAAACAGCATCCCTGCGGGACCAGCAAAGCCAGAGCTTCAGTAGCCCTATAACTCAATATCTCTCATCAATCCCCAGAAAGCCTTTGCAGGCTCATTGCCCTTGGTGCAGTCACTGGATCTTGCTCTTTATTTGAGTTGCTGCAGTGCTTGGAGCCCGAGCATCCCTTGGTTTCTGTAAAAGCTGCCAGCAATGACCATCTTTCTCCAGGAACAAAAGTAGATGTGCTCAAACACATTCCCCATCAGCATTCAGCCAGTCGAGCGTGGTTTTCACCCACTCTCACATAGCCACAGACAGCACAACAGCTTGGGAACAGGGCACTGAAGGTTATTCACGTGGCCGTGCAGTCTCCACGGCTTTAAGGCAGCTCACGGCACCCACCCTGTCCACACCATCTGCCATTTCTTCACCATCTACCGCTCCCCAGGCTGCTCTCCCCTTCACTCACACAGCGCTCCCCTTCTGACAGATCTCCCTGCGCTGACCTCAGCTCTGTGCCGGGCTCTGTCTCCTGCAATCCAGCTCCCCTGTGGCACCTGGGGGACCGGAATGGTAAAAAAAAAGCTGGCAGCGCACAGACTTCGGTGACAAAAGTGTCCTCATTGCACTCCTAAAATCTCTCTGAAATCGCCAGTAGATAAATCTGAAGAGAGCCTCCAATGACTTCTGCTTTTTGAGCGCTGAGAGCAATTGTTTGTCTAAAGGTTCAGCTCAGATCACCGTTTGTGCTTCAGCAGAGAAATTCCTCAAGCCCGGTGCATTTCCCTGTGCCGTGCTTCTCCAAAGCCTGCCGGTCCCCAGCCAGGTGCACGCCAGGAGCACAGCTCCCTCTGCCTGCCTCAGTTTCCCCCAAAAAGCACGGGAACACCAGCACTGCTTCACCTCAGAGGGGTGCTCTGAGCCCGCACACAGACCGCATGGGACACGTGCTGCTGTGAAAGATGCCATAAATACTGGGGACAGATGGAAGATTTTCATCCTCCCACAAAATCTCTTCAAGCACTGCCCACACGTCGCTGTTCCCACAGCTCTCCATCCAGTTTTGCCCTCTCCCAAACCTGCCTTCCTTCAGGTGGCTGGGGAAGGGCACATCGCCTGCCCCATCCTGCCCGCTGGCGGAGGCTTTGGGGTCAGTGGGGGCAGAGGCTTTGGGGTAAACGGGGTCAGCTCTCCTCCAGCACCCCATTCATCACCCAGCTGTGATCAACGCGGCTCCCCTTGGTGCCCGGCATTTTGTTGTCACCTCCCGGGCCTTCCTCACGGCCCCTCGTGCCTCCCATCAGCTGGAGCCCTCTCGGGGAAGGGATTTGTTATCTGTTTGGCAAGAGCCTGCGTTACACGCCGGGTACGTTTACAACACCGTATAAAAGATTAGAACTTTATTGGTCACTTAAGTGTGCCGAGTTAATAATCTTTAACGTGGTGGCTATTTATCCAGCCGTAAACAGCACGCGGCTGCCGAGCCAAGCCAAATAACCACCACAGACATCCTCTGGCTTTGCAACAAGCTGGTTTCTGCCCCGGCCGTCGCAGCCTCAGTAAGAAACCAACCACCCTGGGACTGAGCACAGAGCCACGGTGGGCCCAAAGTGCCCCAAAAGGAGCCCCAGGGCTGTGCTCCCTCACAGCGCTCCCACCTCTTCGGTGAGGAGCTGTGTGTGTGCACACACCCCATCCTGACGTGGGAGATGGCTGCAGGGATGCTGGGGCTGACAGAGCATTTCCCAACTGAATGCCAAGCTCAAGGCCCCCTCCATAACTTATCCAGGTGCTGCTCAGCCCCCCTGTGCTGGCACATGGGCACAAACCTGGGGACACAGCCTGCGGCCACTGCTCCCAGCCCTGATGGTGTCAGAGGCACCGGGAGGGCCGGGGTCCTGCGGGTGTGATGGGGGGAAAGGGTGGCTCTGTACAGATAACACTGCCCCAAAGCTGGGCTTGTGTCCAGTTCTGTAAGGAAGCTGGGGCACCTGAAAGCTTGTGTGGCTTAACAAGAATCCAAGTAAGATTGTCAGAGTGTCTGGGAACACTCAGAGAACAAAACTAACACAGATCGCATCTAGGTATTACCAGAAGAAAGAATTCCTTGTTTGAACAACTCCTTCGTTACACAATCACTCGTAGTTAGGTGGTGTTGCCATAGGCATCTATCTTAGGATGGTTGCTTTACAGAAGCAGCACTGAGAACTTGATTTGAAGGGCTCCAGCCACGTTTTATATCAGCTCTTTGTTGCTTCCAAGCAATGCGTGATACTTCTGTCCTTTGTAATTTGTAAAATAGCTATGGGTAATATTGCACAATAGCTAGCTTTGTACTGAATAGCTTTTCTTTCGTTAATATCTGAAAAATTGTAGGTGTTTGTGCAGCTAGAGTTTGAACATCAGGGGAAGAGCTTTCTGCTTCTCTTTTTTGCTGCTAATAATTAAATATTGCCAAGTAAAGTTTGTAGCAAGCTATCTGCGGACCTTCCACATTCAGGTGCTTCTGCTCATTCTAACTCTCCTTCTATTGTAGCCCTTTGTTTCTCCCCTTGGTTTTGTTTCTTCGTTCTGTTAATTTGAAACCTTGAAACAGCCTCTCCCAATCAGCTTGATCAGCTGTGTCATTTGGGTTGTTAAAGTAACCTGAAAGAAGTTACACCTGCACTGAAATTTCTGTATCCAGAAATTCAAGGCAGGTGAGTGTTAAAGCAAACCAGTCCACGCTGCTTGTGTCTCTTGCTGCCTCCAACATCAAGGTTATTGCGATCTGATAATACTGCCCGGGCATTTGTTTAGGTAAGGGCCTCTGCTTCGGTGCTGAAGCTGGATGGAGTTAGTAACGTGCAAATTGTTGGCAACAGACTGTAGATTTTGGTCCTTGGTGTTGTAGCTCTTTAAGTTGCATTCTGCTCCACCCCTGAGGTTGGAGGGGCTGTTAGAGCTGCTTGTGTTGGGCTGTGTGGGGACGTGCTCCGAGGTAGGTGGGTGTATGGTAATGCCTGGAATAGGTGAGCTGTGATAGTGGCCTGAAAGAAGCGTTGCTGGTCTCCACTTATGGCTTTGATTTGTGACTGAGAATTAAAGAGCTAAAATTTGTTTTGGAAGTCTGATGTGTTCATCTGGGGATGCCTTTATTTGCAGGTATAAGTGGGATATTTGGATACGTTTGCATAGCACCTAGCTTGGGGACAAGGTCTTGCAGTGGAGTTCATCTAAGTAACGTTGGTCGTCAGCTAATTAGTTCCCTTGTACCTGACCAGGCAGTCACGCGACCTGTCTGATATAAAAATAGGCAGAGCTAATTGCACTATATTAATGATTGACTTGCTTGGATTCTGTGTGTATGGGTGGGAGGACGTGCTGGAGGCATCCAGCTGTGGAATCAGCTGTTTCTCTTAACAGATGTAAGCGCTCTTCTTATCTCTGTTGTTCATGCACTTAGGCTTCACCGTATCTCATTTGTTCTCCTCTTACTGAAACTTCTTGGGTCAAAGGACAGCTACCTGAGCTTCCAAATGTTGCAAAAGGCCAGGCGTTGTTGATTCCCACTGTCTCAGGGAAGGAGTTTGGCAGCCTGGCTGTTTTATCGTGCTTGGTATGGACACGGCTCTGTTGTGTTACCAAATAGGTGTAACATCTGTGTGGCTACACCAGTGCTGGGTTATTTTGTTAGAGTTTTCCGGGAGAAAACAACTGAAGGAAGAAATAACTCATGTGAAAAGATGCTCTCATGACCAGATTTTGCCATCATTAAAACTATGTTATTTCAAAATCTGCTAGGCTGAATATAATTAATTTGTAATGAAAACTAATGTTTATCAGATTAATTCCAACTTTCTTACCTAATAGGACAGGAGCCTGGTCTAGTGACCGCTATCAGCTTACTAAGCTGATTTGAACCTGTGCTGCACTAGGTATCTCCAGAATATAGTTATTTTGTTTCGGAACTGGGGACCTTAAACCTAAAAAGATAAATGGTGTAAGCTGCAGAGCTGGTGTTCTCAAGTCCCCTGCCTATGCAGAAACTGCCGATGCCCTATGAGGAGAGATGCTCTTCAGAGATTACAGGAAGGACACCAAATTCTGTGTTAAACAGGCAATTTCATAGATCAAAACACTGGGGAGCACTGCGGGAGAGCTGGGGCAGAGGAGAACCAGCAATAAACCACAAAGGGAACACTGGCTAAAAATATTTATTACAAAGGTGCCACAAGCAGTAATCCTGCTTGTGGTTTGAGAGGCTGAAATGAATTGTTTATGCTGTAAGCACTTTAATAGTGTGGTTAATAAGCCTCTGCTCTCTATTGTGAGGGTATTTGCCCCCTTGTTCTCCATACTACAAAGGCAAATGTGAAGGTTGGAAGCCATGCAGAAGTGCAGGCAGATACCTTTTAGAAGTTACAGAGGTCATTGGTGTACTTGATGCATGTGAGTGCTGCCCGTCACGTTCTTTTTAAATGGTTTGATTTCATTTCTTTTTCTCCTCATCAGCAGACCTGGCAGAAGAGAGCAAGTCAGAAGATCTACGCGAAGATAAGTTCTGCAGTAAGGATTAATAAAATCCCTTCAGCCTGGGGGAGGGAGGGTTGGTAAGGGTATTGTTTTTCTGTTGTTTGTTTTTGCTATAATGTCTCACTGTATAGAGGGAATGTTTGCTTTCTAATGTAATTCCCCAAGGGGACAAGATTCCTGCTTTACATCTCAGTATGCCTGTAAGCCATCTCTTCCAGCTGAGAGACGAGCATTTGTGGGTCCGTGCAGTGACATTTGGCAGAGCAGACATCAGATACTTGAAGTTCCTTTAAGTTTACTCAGAATGAGCATGTGGGTAAGGAACACCATCTACCGCAAGGCGACTCATCTGTCCTGTGCTCTGAGCCCTTAGCTGTCTTAATGGTCCTCTGACAAGGCTAGGCTTCCCAAAATTTTACCCACTAGTAAGACTAGAGATTAGCAATCTACTATAATAGTAAAATTAAAATCTCAGCAACCAGTCTGTGGTTATAAATGCCGCTTGATTTTTAATGAAATAAGGTAGCACTAGCTTAGGATTGTGCAGTGATTGCTTTTACAGGATAAAATGCTGCGTCTGTACCTTTGCTGCTCCAGGACAAGTGTTCGTGTTACTCTTGGGATTTTGGTAGTGTGTAACTTTTTGAAAGACTGCAGAAATAAGAACAATATATTGCTTTATTTAGATATAAGTTCCCTGAAATGTAATTGTTGGCATTCTGCCCGAGATTAGATCCTCCTCTAATTGTACAGTGTATTTGGAGCTGGTTTGGTGTTGGTGTCTAGGTTTTCCCTTGTGTGCCAGATAATCTACCTTTTGTTGTTTCTGAAGAGGGGTAATCCATCACCAGGGTACTAGATTATTGAAGCTTTTCTTTGGGGCAGTCTGGAGAAGAGGGAGAAGATACAGAGGTTCACAGAGCTGGAAGAGAACAGGTTCTTTATAAATTGACAGCTTAAATTTTGTAATTTTCATAATGCTTATGTTACTGTAAATCAGCTCTTGTTTTCCAAGAGGAAACCTCTATGCCTTTAGCACTTAGTGCAGAAGATAATAACATAGTCTGATACGATAATGATTTCCTACTCCATTTTCAGCTGCCAGCTGAAATCGTGGGGCTGCAAAACTTACCCTGGAATAAACAAGTTCTGTTGATAGCTCCTGGTATGCATGGCGTGCCCCTCCCTGCTTGCTTACTACAAAGGCAAAGAAGACATGCAGCAATTTCTGTAGGCTCAGAGTAAGAATCATAGCGTCACAGAATGGTTTGTGTTGGAAGGGATGTTGAAGATCATCTCATTCCAGTCTTCCTGCCATGGGAGCCACTAGGCCAGGTTGCTCGAAGTTCTTTAGCTTGAGTGTATAATCCAGTCCCTAGGCAGGTATAAAGGATCAAGTGCCTTGAATATTCACAGAGCTAATAAATCATAATCACTTTAAATCATGTCTTGCTATATGAGACTTCTTATTTTCACTGGGGAGATATTAACGGGGTAGTTATCGACATGGAAAATTACACAGCAGAAGAGGTAACTTGTAGGGACTTGTGTGTTCGATTAGCCCAGGGCTGCTCATTCAGCTGCCCATCATCTACCTTTGGTTTCCTTTAAGCACTCTGTGACTGCTGGACTAAAGCTTTGCATGTTAATATATTACACTAGGAGATCTTAAATCAACTTAAACACATTCTAGCATTTAAATTGATAGAAAAGTTATATTCTTGTAAGTTTCCACACCGATATTTGTAGTGCTTTGATTAAATTACTTTCATTTTGTTTTAAAGATGCCATTGGGAATTGGGTCATTGGTCTATTACCTTGATAGACTTTAAATGGCACACTTCATATTTTGAAACTTCTGGTTTCAGAGTAAACTTTTTAAATGGGTAACACTTAATTCATTGTATAAAATAGATCTGCTGCTTACATTCAGTGTTTTGTTTTGTTTAAAGGAAAATTCTCCCCTTAGTTGGTCCTCATATCTGTAATGATATAGGCAGGCCAGAAGCTCTTGATCTATATATTTGATAACATTTACTATCCAGTACCCTCTTAAAATGCTCTGTTCTTTAGCATTTTTCCCCCTTTGTGGAACCATTAACCTTCTCTTCCTTTTTTTTGCACAAGATTTTTTTTTATGCTGTTTGTTTTGGGAGTGTTTGGGTTTTCTTCCTCTATGGTATCTTCTAGTAAGTACAGCTCATGGAATCAACACTGATTGAGTATTAGAAGTGCTCGTGTTGTCCCAGGACAGGAGATGGGAACAAGGGGTTGCTGTTTTCTGTTGAAATGTTTGTAGATATAAGGCCTACACATTCTCTTAAATTTAAGCTACTGTCATTTATCAGGCCAGCATAGATCATCATGTTTCTGAACTTTTTATTATAATAAAATACATGATTAATTAATCAGAGATAATTAAAAGTCCTTGTTTAAGAAGACAATGTTACCTGTGCTTTCATTTATAAATAAAAGCACGAGTTTCTCAGGCAAACCTTCAGTGACTGTGCTTCATATGCAATGGTGATGTCCACAGAGAAATCACTGAGATGCTTAAAATGATTTGCCCTGTAGTGTACTCTTACCAGTGCTGTCAGACACTATCAGGTCTTCAGCAGTTTCTCAGGGAAGTCAGAAGTGAGTACTCATTTTGTGTCAACAGGTTTCTAGACTTTGTCCCTAAAGAGCATGAAAAACAATGGGGAGCAAATATCTCAGCCCCTGTTGTGACTGATAAACTAGTGTTAGAACATTATGCAGAAGCGGGAGCCCAGCTTATGCTGTGGACAGTACCTGAGGCAATCCATGATCAGATCAAACTGCATTTAACCTCATCAAAGCAATCCATCGAGCTCTTGTGTACTCCACTAAAGAGGATCGTCAATTTAAAATCTCAGATGTGATTCAGTATTGCTCAAGGATGGGAAATCATCTACTTAGGGTTTTGGATTTAATTTTCTTCAACTGGAGTGAGGACTAATGGCTAGAAATCTCAAGGAAGAAGATTCATCTGTTCATGTGCCTCCTGCATGTGTTAGTTTGCTGAAGTTATGAAATAAAGTGAACTTGAGCCTTTTCTCTGGCTACATCACTACAGCATAAACAGGAGACAATATGCTGCAGCTCTGGGAGGTTAGCAGTAGTCTTTATTTGTTGTACAGCAAAAGAAAGTACTTGTTTCCTGTTAGCACGTTATGAAAATGTGCCAAAATATCAGTTGTCGGTATCTAGCTGTTCTGTACAGTGCATAGCAAAGAGCTGTATCAGAGGTGTTTGAAAAGTCGTCCCCGTTAAAATCAGTGCAATTGTGCATGGCTAAGATGAAAATGTTATCAAAGTTTAGGTTTCGTGTTATAAAGTATCTACAGTAGATGCGTGTGAAGTATCCTAACAAGCTGTTAATCTGTCATACAACTTTCAGAAGGCAAAATTGTAAGGTTGTTTAAATAGGATAGGGAACAAGGTTTTCCTGATTACAATTTTTTAAGGAACTGTCCTGTATTTATTAAAATCAGTACCAAGTAGTTTAATCTCAGGTTTTAATCAAAGCTGAAATCTATTTCTAAAAAGTTTATAAATATTTCACTGATGTGGATACATGTACTCTGGATTTGGAAGAAATATTGGTACTCCACGTTAGTTGTAATTCAGGTATTTCAGTTTGCTGATTCTTGCATTTGGGAAAGCAAAAATGGATTATTTTAGTGAACTGGAAGTAGAGTTGGTTAGTTTTGTGATTGAAATATTGAAATGCATCTTGCAAAACTTACTAGGTTGCTTTTGTAATGAAACTTATTAAAGTTGTCCCTAGCCATGTTAGCTTTAGCAATATTGTGACCTTATATTTCCTTCGATGAAGGGAAGTCATAATTCAAACTGTTTATTTTCTGACTTATGCATTTTTAGATGCTTTCATAGACTTTTTTTCAAAGGCAGTATCAGACTTTTGACTGCCACAATTTTCTTCATTGCTCTATAAAATTCAGTGCAGTTTTCAGACATCTTCTGAAAGTAGCCTACACAACAATGGGAAGAATTAAGGGGTGGAATGGAAAAATGTGGCTGGACTGGCAAGCTTATTTCTTAAAAATGTAGTCATTGACTTGAAGTTGTGCCAGTTCCAGTTCAATGGTCATTGCCTGGTTTTGAATTATAATGATTATTTTCTTCATAGTCTTAAACTTATCCTCGGAAAATCTTTTGTCTTTACTGCAGCCATTTTTGGTGTATTTTCAATACGCTTTTTTTCTACTTTTTCACTTGTTTTTAATTTGCAGTTAACTGGAGAGCGAGAAGCTCCATAATACACCAATAGATCCAACAATCTCAAACTTGTGTGGTGGTTGCTACTAAAAAAGAATTAGCACAGAACAGAACAACACCCTTACTGTTTTGTAGAAGTCAGTCAAATTAGAAAGGAAAAGGGGAGCCTCTCCTTAAAGGAGGTGTATGGGAAATTTCAAGCTTTGCCATTGATATGAATAATGTAATTGGCTTTGCTAATTTAAAACCCAATTACAATATTGTCTTAAGAAGTACTTGAAAGCATTCCAGTTCTCAGCAGTTGAGGCGCTGTTATCTGGAGATCCAGGCAGAGGATACTGCTGCAACGTGGTGCTAACTTTCCTAAAGTTACTTTACCAAGAGGGAAGGAGTTGTGTTGTAATGAGGAGATATAAATGAGTCTCAGTACCTGCGAGAAGTGGGTGGGACACAGCCCCTGGCCAGCTTGCTCTCTGCTACTGGAAATGAGACAGCTTTTGTCTGCTTTTACCGTTAACTCAGAGTTAAACTTTGCTCTTTATGTGGTTGCCAGAAGAGAAAACTTGTACAGAGGGACGGTTGGAGGAAGGTTAGGAAGGAGTGGGAGGAGGAGACGACAAAGGCTGGCTAGGAGTTCTCTGAAATTTCTTGGGCTCTTCTCCTTTGGCAAGTAAATACTCCCAGTTCGAGGCCTGCTGGCTTGCAGTAGCTTTAGACACAGTGTCAGGAGCTTTGCACCATTACGCTGAAGCACACTAATTCTGTTGATTTTGCAAGCAGTTAAGAGCTGGTCATGCTTTAGCAGCCTCGACAATGCCTGTTTGTTTTGCTATCATTATTTTTCTTGCAGCATTTAGAGCTTTAAGAAGCACAAGCAGCCAGACCTACTTGCACAGCCAGCAGATTTCTCCCAGCCAGTGTGTTCAAAAGTTCTGCCAGTCTGACTTCCATCCCCTAGCCACTGATTTCAGTGAGCTTGCTGAGGAGCATGCACTCACCAAATTAGTTAGTTTCTGGAGAAACTTCCAGAGGGAAAGATGACATGCAACCTTTAAATACGTCTGTGACTCTGAATGACAGAAAACAGCTATGAATTCATATGAATATACGATATGAAATGCGTGAATGATAGAAAAGGCAAAGAGTAAGGACAGAGAAGACAGTTTATAGGAAAAAAGGACAGAAAAGTTGTAACTCTGAGTATCTTGTAAGTTCTTCCATAAGATAGACATTTTAATTAACCCTCCCTAATATAAACATAAGTGGTTCCCAAAAAGTGATGGCAGAAAGGGGAAGCTGTTTCATAGTGGAGACTCCAGCAAGTACAGGATCGTAATGGTTTCCATACTGAAGTGACCATGAATTGTATGTTTCTACTTCCTGCACTTCATTCCCTCCTAAATAGAAATGTATTTTTTCTCCACAAGGGTATTACAGTAGAATTTCAATTAAAGATAAGTTTCCCTGTGTCTCCCAGGTAGAGAATGACAGGAAAAAAAAATGTTAACAGAGCTACGTCGACTCTGCAGTGTTCTGGTATCCCACTGTTACTTTGCAGATCCTGAAGATGTGCTCACAACCTTAAAGAGAAATGTAATTTTGGAGTTCCAACATGTGGTTCAAAAAAAGAGTTAATTTTTAGCCATAATTTAACACTATCTGAATTAAATGTATGGCTGTCCAAGCTAATGCTCGTTGTATGTTTATGAACTTCTCTGAACTTCAACCAAAATTTGTTTTATTTTTCTGTAGTAAAGTAGGAAGGATGAGTCATCTGTCTTAACAGTGTGTCTGCCTTGAGTTTCAAATCCTTTTAATGCACCTGGTATAAAAAAAAAAAAAAGCCATGGTCTGTGCTAGTAAATGTCAAGTTCTATGCATTGTCCAGTCTGTTGATACAGGAATGACTAAAGGTTTTCTGGAAGCATTTCAGTAACTGTTTTTGTTGCTTTGACCTTTGCACGTAATGCCATAATTGTACAAATCAGTTTCACAGGCCTGTTGCATCTTATAGGGCTCAGCTGCCTTTGCAGACTCTGCAGCATCAGTGGGGGTATGCTCCCTGGCTTTAACCCGGCACTGAGGGAGCATTGACAGAGATGTTCCTGCAGTGGACTAACTTGTTGCCTGCTGTCACTGGTGTGTTTCAGTGGAAAACTAAAGGGGGAGATGCAGTAAATGAAAGCTTATTCACGTATGGGCATTAATGGTTGCAGTCTGCTGGGACACAGGTGTGCTTTGAAGCTGGAGTCAGCTGGTAGATCATGTTAACATGTGGTTTGAGGAACCAGAGGCTAGAACCTGATCTTTCAGCTCTCACTGCTCTTAGAGTCTGGTGTGTTTTTAAAATGGTCTAATGTTGGTGATAGCAGGCCCTCTAGAGGGTGATTTGATCATAGAAAGGGATGCAAAATCAGAACCAGAAGTCCAGTGCAGTGCTCGAGAGGATTAAGAATCACTTTCATGAAGCTGTTTTAAGCTGCTGTGAGCCCATATTGTCATCAGAAAGGGTGGTTCTGCCTTGTCATCTTTGCACTGGCACTAACGTTGACCTAGGTGACCCTACAGCTGCACGTATTACTTACTATGTATGAACAGTATGTATGAACTCCTGCAGTTTGTGCATATTACCTTTCATTTGTGTACTGAGGTTCAGAAGAGTTGTAATATCCTTTCTGAATATATTAGTATATCATAGTATATCATTCAGCAACAGAGTGAGTTACACAGAAGGTCCGGCTGCACTGAATGTTGTAGAGGCATTCTCACTGGGAACAGTGGTGCCTTCAGAGAAAAATGTAGTAAATTTATACCCAAATAAGTGCAGTAGGAATTACCTCACCAGGCAGAGTTGCTAATGAAAAACTCTTATCTTTACTCTTGCGAACATACCTCTCATTCACCATTGTCTGGATGCTGCTGTGAACTAGGCTCAATTTGGATCCTGGTGTACACAGAAGTGAGCTTTTCTCCACTGCTCAATAAGATAAGTTTTCTTGTCCAGATAGATGTGTTTGGCCTGTGCAAGTAATTGATGAATTATTTTACAATCGAATAACTCTGAGCAGGCAGCAAAAAGGGAAAAAATAAAAGGTGGAAGATAGAAAATATCTTGACCTGTTCTTTTTTTTTTTTTTTTTTTTTTTTTCTCGTTTTGCTTGGTGATTCAAATCAAACTGTGCTTTGTTTCTTTCCAGGCTCCTTACATTCACTGTGTTGTGGATGTAGAAAATCACTGATCTATCTTTTTTTGCCTTTTACGTTCTTCTTCTGTCAATTGCACACCTACTGCACCCCTCCTGTTTGCAGCGTGGCATCTCTAAAAAGGTAGGCTCAAACACTCGGATCTTTGCACTTTGCTTGCTTCTTTTGTCTTTGAATGGCTGCTAATTTTTTCTAATCCTGTCATTATTGCTAATGCTGGGGCAAGAGAAGCAAGGCAGCAATTACAGCATCAGATTGCTGCATAACATCTACTGAATACACTCTTGCAAAGTTAGTTCAAAGCACCTGCAGAGTCCTAAGATCAGGGGCGAATGGGCAAAGCTGGTCAACACAGCATTTTTGTCCAGCAGTACAAGTCTGTATTTTCCAGGACAGAAAAGTCTGATGTTAATGATGGGATTTAAGTTATCTCTGCACTGGAAAAAAATTGTGGTTTATTTATTTATATTTTTTTTAAAAAAAAAAAAAGGCAACTTCCTCAAAGTTATAAGGTACTGTTCCATGTCCAAGCCTGGTATGTGCTGTTGCAGTTCACGTAAGGCATGCTCAATTATTTCCTACTTTGCAAGCTTTCCGCAACTAATTGGAAAGATGTTGGACTGAACCCAATTTGGCACATTCCTACAAGTGACTTGTCTCAATTTATACTACATTGTATTTACTTTTATGTGGGTAGTTTTTTCAGAGGCAAGATGACTTTTTGCTTGTGTGTCAGGAAGGTCAGAGTTACTCAGCCATACAGCATTAGTGGTTAATTCAGTCATTCTTCAAGTCTTGGCCTCCAAAGGCATTTCTTAAAGAACAAAAACTAGTGGATTGTAACACCTGATAAGCAGAGAAGGAATAAAGACTGCCCTGTGATTAGTACCACAGACAGATGGGTCTAAATTAATGCTTTTGAGACAATCTTTTTGGCCTTGTTGCAGATGTCATTGGTTAACTTCAGTGAGAGATGCACACAAAGACTTCTGTTGGAAGCACTTTTTGATGAGAGGAAGTGGCACCATATGTGTTTTTTAGAGTCCTAATTAGGGTTAGGCTTAGTGTTCCAGTTAGGGTTACATTTAGGGTTGTTTGGAAAGAGAGAAGGTGCGGAGTCCTCTCACCTGCTGCCTGACTGCAGCCATCATCGCAGGGTCTCCATCCCATCAGGTACCAGAGCAGCTGTTTGTCCTGCTCCAGAGGTGTTTAACTCCATCACACAGGTTAATTCCAGCACCTTAACTCAATCACCTTCCTAAATGATTTCAGTACCTTGACAAACCGTGGCTGCTTCCCCATCAGCTGTTCCACCTGTGCATCTCCAGGGCGCAGAATTGCCCCTAGCAGCATGTTTCATGAAGCTGTGTGGCACAGGGAACAAGCTCACATCCATGCTGGCACCAGCCTAGAGCCTCCCCCTCCAAGTCCCCTGGGAAACAACGAGTGGAAGAGATGATGGGATTCTCCAGAGTTTATTATTTAAAAAAAAGCACAACATGTGGATGACTTAAGGGAACAAACAATCTGTTAAGATGTTTAGAGCTGCAAACAACTGCTTGGAGAAGGCCCTGAAGGCAGGAGGAGCTCTGCCAGAAGTGCTGCAGTCAGGCAGCTGAGCAGAGCTGAGCTCAGAACATCTCAGCCCGCACGCAGCAAAGCCCCGGGAGCCTCAATCCTTCAGGTTTCACCACGGCTGTTCCGCAGCACAACACACCAACAGTGTCCCTGCCCTTACGCTCTGGAAGGAGGCTCGAGGGGCTCAGAGCACAAAGAAACAGGCAGTGGTGTGAAAATCAAAAGGAACAGTGAGAAAAGATGGGACAGAGGAACGCATTCAGGTGGGTGGCTCTGAGGTTGTCCTGCAGCAGGTCCTAACATCGCCTCCCGACGCTCACAGGAGCCTGGCTGAGTCCTCGGAGCCTCTTCCTCCTCCAGAGGCCACTTGCACCCTGCAGGCAGGGGACACATGAAGTGAGGAGGGTCACCGAGCTGGGTCAGCAGCCCCTGCACTGATCCCACGGCAGCTCAGTTCTTTAAAACCCTTTGGTGAGGAATCTCGCAGATGCAGGTGAGGACAGGGATCACATCACCCCACAGTGACCAGCACACCTCTCCCCATGGCCAGAAGCGTGCATCCTGCGCCAGGCAAGGACAGGAACAGGGCCCAGCTTCTGCCTTCCATCAGAAAATCACCTTGAGCCTGGGGTTTTAGGATGCCATAGCAAGCAGAGCAGCTACACTAACTACTTAGTGCAGCAGACAGGAGGAAAAAAAAAAAATAGGTGCTATTGCAGTCAGCTGGAGTACTGAGTTCCAGTCAGAGCAGCTCCCGGAACCCTCCACACACACACAAGAGAAACCCCCACAGCGACACCACAGCAGAGCCCCCAGCCAGCCCCAGGGCCAGAAGGAAACGCAGAAACATCAAGGAAGACCCCTGCTTCCCTCGGGCTCCCTCATCACTCGTAGATCCAGCGCTCAGCCGCGTCCTCCCAGCACGTCAGCTCCTCGGGGCGGAACCAGAGCGAGATCTCCTGCCGGGCACTCTCCACCGAGTCGCTGCCGTGAATCACATTCCTGTGAGGGAAGAGAAAGGGCTCAGGCAGCACCATGCAGACAGAGGCTGGGGAGGGGAGCTGCAGGGGGGAAGGTTTCACCCTGACCAATTTCACCCAGCCTGCTGAGCCGCTCACGCCACACAGTGCCCCCTGCCACCCCGCAGCCCTCCTTCCAGCTCCGCGGCTGCTCGTGAGGTGGGTCAGGCCACCTATGTGGAGGAGCTGCCAGTTTCCAGCAGCCCTCTCTTCTGTAATAAATTATTTATGTGCTGCAAGTGGCTGTCGGTCTGGGGTTCACCTTGTTTTTACGTTAGCAACTGAAATTCTGCCTCCAGGTTTCCCCTTTGTTTCAGGGGGATAGGTCCTGTGAAGCAGGTTTGGAATCGGACACTGGGGAGCAGGAACCTAACAGGAGAGTGAGATAAAAACTTCATCTACCATAGGCCAGGCTCAGCTGCAGCCACCAGATGTCACCACTGGTGACTTTCCGGTGATGAAAACATGCCTGCAAAAACCCTGCTCAGCTTTGGGTTCAGACTCGGGTGCCTGGTGGAGCTGAGTGCCCTCAGGGTTGCCCTGCTCCTCTGGGAGATGACCAAAAGTGCTTTTCCCTTCCTCTTCGCAGCCTGACAGTCCCGGGTGCTGGAGCAAACCCCTCCTCATGCAGACAGACGAGGCCTCAGGAAGCACGAAGGACCCAAACCCAAACTCCTCCCTTCGGCGGTGACCTGAGCACGGAAGGGGGAGCGCTGTCCCGGAGTGCACCAAAACACCCCGGGCACAAGAAGCCAGGCTCACCTCCCAACATCAACGCAGAAGTCTCCTCGGATGGTGCCGGGCAGGGATTCAGCCGGGTTAGTCTCCCCGATCATCATTCGAGCCATCTTGACCACATCCAGGCCCTGCCAGACCTACGTGACAGCACACGGTCACCTCGCGCAGCTCCCCTGGCACCTCCGACCACCCACTCCCGAAATCTGCCATCTGATCCCCGAGGGGACAGCCCACCGGGGGTCTCTCAGCGAGCTGCTTTCCCAAATCACTTCTTGAGACCACCGGCGTTGCCTTGTGGGTTCAGTTCGCCGCAGAGGACACCCCATCAGGGTCAGCACGGCTCCATCCGCCAGCACTCACCATCGCGACCACGGGCCCCGAGCTCATGTACTTCACCAGCCGCCCGTAGAAGGGTCGGTCCCGCAGGGCCACGTAGTGCTCCTTCAGCAGCTCCTCCGAGGCCTGGGCACGGGGAGCCCACGGTCAGCACCCGGGGTGAGCGGGGCACACCACGGGGCACCGGGGCAGCGCTCACCTGCAGCAGCTTCAGCCCCAGCAGCCTGAAGCCCTTCCTCTCAAAGCGCCGGATGATTTCCCCGACCAGCTGCCGCTGGACGCCGTCCGGCTTGATGGCCACGAAGGTGCGCTCCGTGACACCGGGACGGGCTGCGGGGGGCCGGGGGGGTCAGCCGGGACCAGGGACCAGGACCGGGACCCAGCCCCTTCCCCTCCCCTCGCCCTTCCCTTCGCCATCCTCTTCCCTTCCCTTTCCCTCACCACCCCCTTCCCCTACCTTCACCCTTCCCCTCCTCACTCTCTTTCTTTCCCCTTGCGTCCTCCCCTCCCTCTCCTCATCCTCCTGGTCCCCATCCCTGTTGCCGTCCCAGTCCCCGTCCCAGGTCCCCGTCCCTGTCCCTGTCCTTGTCCTGGCGTCCCGCTCCCAGTCTCCATCCCCGGTCACCGTCCCCGTCCCATCCCGGTCCCCGTTCCGGTCCCTGTCCCTGTCCTCGCCCTGGCATCCGGTCCCCATCCCATCCCGGTCCTCGTCCTAGCCCCGTCCCCGGTCCCCATCCTGGTCCCAGTCCCCATCCCCCGGTCCTGGTCACCGTCCCGTGCCCCGGTCCCGTCCCCGTCCCCGGTCCCCGTTCCCCGGTCCTGGTCCCCATCCCGGTCCCCGTCCCCCGGTCCCCGTCCCCTGTCCCCGTCCCCCTGTCCCCGTCCCCCGTCCCTATCCCGATCCCGTCTCCCTGTCCCAGTCCCCGTCTCCCTCCCAGTCCCATCCGGTCCCGGTCCCCATCCCCGTCCCGGTGCCGTTCCCACCCCATCCCGGTGCCCACCGCCGTGCAGGAGGCTGGCGAACAGTGCGAGCAGCAGGCAGATCATGGCGCCGGCTCCGCTCCCCGCCGCCCCCCTCCCGGGGCCGGTCCCGCCCCCGTGCTGCGGCTGCGGGATTTTTTTTTTATTTTTTTTTATTTTTTTTTATTTTTTTTTTTGCCGGGTTTTGTGGGTTTGAAGCAATTCGTGGGGTTTTGCCTCGAGCTCCGCGGTGCCTCGCCCGAAGAGGGGGCCCCCCCCCGTGCTCCAGCAGTCCCGTTGGGCTCTGCTCGGGCTGTACAAAATGTGCCCGTGTACAAAATGTCCCGTGTTTTGGGGGATCCAGCCGCTGCTGGGGGGGCTGCGCTGCTCCCCGTGCTCCAGGAGGGCGTTTTGGTGGCCTTTCTCCCCCTGGCGTAACGCACAGCCCCCGAGGGGAAATGCTGCGGGATCTTTGCTTTTAAAATCCCAAAATCCCGGAATCACCGAGGTCGGAATGACCTCCAAGATCACCCAGTCCGACCTCTGAGCTACCACTAACCAGTCCTCCGCTAAACCATATCACTGAGCTCTAAATGAGACCTCCAGGGATGGTGACTCAGCCACTTCCCTGGGCAGCCCATTCATGGTCTTTTGATGGTTTGGGGGTTGTTTTGTTTTGTTTTGCATTATTAACCTCCCTCCAAACAGCATGTTCTTAACCCTTCCCTTGCACTCTTAGTTGTGCTATTTTCTTGAAACATCTCAAATTCAGTCTAGGACAGGCATCTGTCCAAGGAAACAGTGCAAGCAGTTGGTGTGATAGGTTTGCAGGCAGCTGTAAGGAGGGCAGGCAGTGGGTGGTGTCCACTCACGTTAGCTACACCCGACGCTCCTCACAGAGCTGGTAATTAAGAGCACGTTCTCCATGCTCATGAACTATCTCATTTTCTCATGTCAGGGTTGTTGATTGTTCTTTCCTTCTCCACAGGTCTCCTCAAAGATCCTGGCTCAGATGTTTGGATCAAGGTTTTAAGTTCCTTGGACTTAAATATTCTTTTGAGCCTCAGGCCATTCCCTGCAGCACAACCTGGAGGAGAAGCACAGCAAGCACTCCGTCTGCTCCGGTGAGTCTCTCTCGGCTTCTCCGCAGTAAATGCAATCTGGCAACAGATGTGCTGGGGGGAAAAGGCTTTGACGTGGCTTCCTAGGCTGGATACTGGCATCGTCAGCCTCAGAAATGCTGATTGCTGGTGACCACAGTTAGCTCAGGGAGCGGAGATGGGACTGATTCTCATTCGGGTTATTCCAAAGCCGATGGCTTTTCAACATCTACACCTGATTGTTTCAGGCAGGTCTGGGGAATCTGTAGCAAGCGAGAATGAGTCCTCCACAAGTCATTCATACGGAGGTTTATTTAGGAGGGCAGCAGCTTTTCCAGAGCAGATGCTGTGCATGGCGTGCTGCCACAGGCAGCAGCTGCACGGCTGGAAAAGGCTGGGCAAATTTGCCACAGGGCCCCCAGTTTAGAAAGCCTTGTGACTGTTCCCTGAATCCTGCTCGCTGGGAACCTGGAAGCTGGCAGGTGCCTGCTGGTACCAATTACAGTGCCCGTTTCAGCTTGGTTTTGGCAGGTTCTGTGTAAACAGTATCTGCGTGGCAGCAGCAGAGGCAGAGGAAGGCTGTTCTTGTCCTCACCCCCACCACAAGAATTTCAGGCAGAGGCAGAATTGTATTTTGGCTGTTTCTGGATAAAACATTGCAGATGCTGTGGTCATACAATAGATCACAATATCTGTACCTACGTTACCTGTAGTCACATAACTGCACGTGGTGCAGACAGAGCCCGTTTTGTCTCTTCAGCTTCATGGCAGTTCCTGCAGCTGTCCCTGCTTTCCTCCCCAGGTGGTTATTGCACCTTCAGTGATCTGCTTGTGTGGGGAGGTTTTTTACTTTTCGGTTCAGCCATGGTCTTCCACCAGCGTAGTACTGACACAGCATGGGCACTGCCTGGCTGGAGACTTGCTGCCTGCCTTCTCTCTGGACACCTGCTTGTGTTGGAAATGATTTCTTCTTCTTTAGGATGACTCCACGGTGAAGACTGAAGAGGAGAAGGAGATGCTGATGTTAGTGGAGCTGGAAGATTTTCTAAAGCGCCGCTTTTCCCTAACCCAGGTGATCCAGATCTCTGAGCCACACCTATACAAAGCACTCTGTAATGTTTACTCATTTAGCCAAGGAACCATGGAAGGGGAGGGAGCGTTCACCCAAAACTGCCCTTGCTCCACCCTGAAACAAAGCTGTGTTTGCAGTGGTTTGGAATGAGAGAACCTGGGGGAGAAGCGCTATCTGAGTGTGGCAGTAGGTCTTTAGGGATGATGTGCAGTCCTTTAAACCCAAGCCAGGATGCTGCTTGGAGATGGGGAGGGCTTATTTCAGAGAGGAAGGCTGCTGCACACTCGGGTGTGATTTGTCTTGCTTCAGAGTTTTGTCAATGCCCCAGCAGGGAGTCAGCCTGAGCTGAACCAAGCATTGCCTTTGGCCAGAGCAAAGTTTGTGCTCAGGGGGGCTGGGGCTTGGGTTTTGCAGTCTTGTAAATCCGTCCACATCCACAGCGGACTCTGAGGATCTCGTAGTGAGAAGGTGTTTGCAGGTAAGGCTACTCCGTACCAGGTGGAGGGTTGCAGTGATACGGCTCTTGCTGAATTACACCACAGCCCCTCTTGGTGCACGGGGCCCTTCTGTTCTCAGCGTGCTGTGCAGCTCATGCAGAGGGAGGTTCGGTGCCTGGAGCTCTTTTTTGTACCTTGAATGTCTCATTTGTTTGTTGCTCCCAGTGCCTGAGCCCTTCCTGTCTGTGTGCATGCACAGCAGAGGAATCCCCTCTCTGTGGTGACACTGTGATCACCCAGAGCTTCCCCACATCGATGCAGCCAAGTAGCAGGTCTGCCCTGTCCTTTTTCCCAGGGAGTATTTCCCAGGGAGAGCTCTTGCCTCACCACCTCCTGGGCTCTTTCTCACTTAAGCCAGTGAGGATAAATTTAACCAAGAATGTTATTTCTTTAAAAAAAAAAAAAAAATCAGCTGTGGCCTGTTGAGTTCTGCCACTGAAGGAACCAAGCAGTGCTCACCCTGCTTTTGGGTCTCACCTTCTCCTCTCGTAGCCACATCCTTCCAGCTCACAGCCTGCAGAGCCGTGTCCGTGTGCCTGCAGGAGCAGCGCTGCCTCGCAGGGGAGCTTTGTCTCCACCTGCAAGTCAGGCTGGGAGGTGGCAAACGTGAGCGCGTTAAGCCTGGCCTCTTCCTCTTCATCAGTCAGCAGCCCGAGGCGTGAATCCGCAGCACGTGGCTGGGAGCTGTGTGCCTTGCTTACAGGTGTAACTGGGAACGGAGCCCTGCAAAGCAACGTCCCGGATCCCAGCCCGGCCCTGAGCTGTCCGTGACTCAACGGGAGGTACTGGAGGTAAAACTTCTCATGCTCCTTGGTGTTTTGTCTTCCTCGTGGTTGAACTGTATGGAAAAGGCTCCCATTGGGGTGCCCTTCTGTGTAAGGGATGCTCTGCCATGGGAGGTAGGGGCTGGCTTGGATCAAGTTGCCTCCACGTGCATCCTCAGAGCCTGTTGTTCTGGGATCCCTGTTCAGAGCTGACCCAGCCTCCCCTCCCCAGTCCCACCAGCAGCTGCCAGGTTCGCTGTGGGTTCTCACTCAGGTCCCTGCCTTGCAAAACTCGTGTCCCGCAGCAGAGCAGAAGCGCTCCTCGTGATGCCGCAGCAGTCACAAACTAGGTCAGATGGGATCCAACTCTTGCTCGATATCCCTTGAGCTAAATTCCTGCCCCAAAAGGGGCGCTGACCCGCTGGCTTACTGAGAGCTAAGAAGGATGAGCAGGCTTTGCTGTGCTGTGTAAACAGGGCTCAAACAAGCACTCAGTGCTGCCTCCCTCCCCTTCCAGCCCTGCTGAGGGACGTGGTACTACCCTGGGCTTCCCTTGCTTCTGCCTCCGGGTCCCTTGGGTGGCCACGGCCGTGCTAGCGCTGCTGGGTGAAGTTTCAGTGTGCGTTTGAAGGAGGCTGAGGGTCTCAGGTTGTCCTGGCCCACCTGAGCCTGTCTTTTTCCCATTGCTTGGTCTTACGGCATCGCTTCTCCTCCAGGTGCCGGTGGTGCTCCAGCTGTGGGGTAACACCGATGTACTCTTCCTAGGCACGTGTGGCAGGAATTTGGCAAACACGTTTCTGCACTGATGAAGGCGATAGCGAAACGCCCGTACAAGTGAGTCGTGTTGCTGGATTTGGTCGAGCCCCAGGCCCGGAGCTTTGGAAAATGTCAGCAGAAGCTACAGAAACGCTTACCTGTGACTGCCAGTGTGTGCTGGTCAGGGTAAGGGCTTGGACTAGATCATTTTCAGACCTCTGTGCTGATGAAAATCACCCAGCTGTCACGGTGAGTGTTGTTGTGATTCAGCACTAAGAATAGAGGGAAAAGAAGAGCCTCAGGAAAACCTTTTCACCAAGTGTTCTGAAGCTTTCCAGGGAAGGAAGGAAATGGTGAGGAATAAATATTAGTCCTGAACACAGGGAGGGTTTAGAAGGAAGCCAACAGCCTACTGCTAGGATCTGGGATCTGCAGGCACGTTCTGAGCACACACTGTCCCCTGGTCCTGCTCTCAGCACTCTGTCTCTCTGCAGGAGGCAGCAGGAGAGGCACGAGTTGCCTTTCCGCACTGCGGGGACCTCAGGCAGCAGGGTGCGAGTGGAGAAGGATGGCACAGGACCATGGCAGGTGTGGGAGAGACAAATCCAGCAGTTTAATAGGGTCAGCCCTGCAACAGCAGCAGCGGTAGCAGAAGCACATCCCTCCCCAAGCCTCCTGGTACAGGTAAGCCCTCAAACCCCTTGGTGTCCTGTTAAAGCTTGCTGCGTGGAAGGTGATGGTAGGGAGGGGTGCCACAGGTTTCCTTGTTTGAAGGTCCTTGTGGATGGAGCAAGCAAGTCCTGAGTTTGTAACCAGCTCTCCAGAAAAGAGAGGATTGTGTCCAGACGGTGTTCAACTTAAGCCATGGTTTTGTTGCAGCAGTAGCTGAAACAAAAGCTACGTTTCAGCTGCTCGTTAGCCCTTCCAGGCCTCTTTCTGCCTTCATCTTGCCTAGAGGAACCAGCTTCATGCATCTTTCTTTGCATTGTTGCTTGTCTATCTATTTGGCTGCATATCCCAGCAAATGCAGCCGAGCGTCTGCTGTATACATCCCATCGCCCTTGCCCAGCAGTCTGTCCATCAGCTTTTCTTGCTTTTATTTGGGTGCTGTCACGGGTGGCTGCCGTTAGCGGGACAGCTCCAAATCCCTCCTAGCAGAACACATGTGTCGCCCCTACAGACCACGAGGCCCCTGAGCTGTCACCAGCAGCACGCCCACACTTCCCTTGCTTTTATGTTCATCTCATCCTTCAGGGAGCTGATTTAGCTCACTCGATTCTCCCTCTCCCTCCTGCCCGTAGCTTCCTGCTGGTTTGTGAGATAACCGTCAGTGAGGTGCTGGGGGAGCAGGATTGGACAAGGGTGCTGTGTGACCCTTCCAACAGCAACTTAGCCCGTTTATAAAGACATTTGTTTTGCCAACACGTGCTTGTTTCCATTTTGTGTGAGCATTAATCACTTAAGCTCTTTCCATTAGATCAGGAACTGTGACAGAACTTTTTTTTTAAGTCTCACATAGTCAAATATCCTCTTCTACTTCCCCTGGAGCTTTGATCTCTGTCCCTAGCATACCCTCTTTAGAAGTGGCTTTACAGCAATCTCACTGTACACCAGAGGGGCAACACAACTGGGTGTGCGTGAGGCCTGTTTGCAGGTCTTGATTCTTCTGAGTTTCATCCCCTGACCCTTGTGTGTTTGGCTGAAGGCTCAATTGGGGCTCCTCAGTGCAGTGATGGGCTTGAGCCTCGCGGTGGAGATGGGAGAATTCGCTCAGAACATCCTCGTTAACTGCTTCCTTCTCTTCTGCACTTGAAGGCCTACGAAGAGTGCAGCGATGATGAGAGGCTCCTTCTGCTGAGCGACATCCCAGTGAAATCAGACATCAGTGGGTAGGACCGCCACCTTGGGACAGATTTACCCACCACGTCTACCTCTTCCACTGACCCCGACCTTGTCCTGGACCTGATGGCATAGTGGGGCCGTGGGCTGCCTTGGTCAGCCCCATCCTTTTTATCTGCCAAAACTCAGCAGTCGCGGAGCTGCTGCTGGCATGGCCGTGCAGCTGGGAGCCCAGCCAGTGGAAGCAGCTGATTCTGTTTCAGAACAGAGCCTTGCACATCAATAAATGTCTTGTTACAGATGCTTTCTTCAGCCTCTTGGCTCTCCTTTCCTCTTTTAGCTGCCCTAGCTTTAATATCCCTCTGGCTGGAAAGCAGGCTGGCTCCTTCGAGAGTTGAGGCGTGTTTGGAGCAGGAGCTGGGTCTGAAAGTGGTGGTGAGCTGTCCCTGAGCAGCACAGGATCAGCTCCTCTGCCGACACAGCCATGGGGTAAGTCTGTCCCATGCTGCCTGTCAGGTGTGGTGCCGAACAAGCTCAATATTTTGTGCCCTTGTCTCCTGACTTTTAATGCCCTGCTCCCTGCTGATTCCTTATCAAGGTCCGACCTCCTGTTACTCTGGGTCCTTCTTGCAGCCTCCTCAGGCAGGTGGATCCTGCTGGACTTGCTTTTAGGAAAATGTCCACCAGCCATCAGAGCCAGCTGGCCAGACAGGAACCACATCCTAGGGTAACACAGCGCTTGAAGTGGGGCAGGGGGTTGTTGGCTGAGCTCCCAACACCAGGAAATACCACATAAGCTCCAGAAAACTCCACACAGCCTGGTGGGCTACGATGGGATCTTCCTTTCCCAAAGCAAAAATTCTGCTTCTCTTGGAAATAGCTGCAGCTGAGATGGGGGACCCCAAACTGAGGTTTTTGGTAATGCTGACTGGGGCCTTCCATAGTGGCATGGAACCCCCCCGAGCTTCTTCCCGTGCAGCACAGCTCGCCAGCTCAAACCAGCAGCAACCAGTGCTGTGAAAGTGGGAGGGCACCCTCGGAAGAAAGTTCCTCCGTGCCAGTGATTCTTCTGTCTCCATCTGCTAAGGCTTGAATTAGTTCCTGCGAGGAGAAATCCAGCAAGGCAGTTTTTTCTGGCTGGAGCACGACTACAGATGGATTGACAGAGAGCCTGCCCTGCTTAATTACAGCTCGCATTCAGAGCCTGTAACCAGAGACGCCAGAGCCATCTTTGTTTAAAGATTCATGATGCGGGAAGGAAAGGCACGGTCGTGGGGAATAAACGCAGGCGGAGCAAAAGGCTTTGCACAAGGCTTTTGCAGGTCTACAACGACCAGGAGAAAAGGCAGCAGGTGGCTACTTGTGTTCACAGTAGCAGCACTGGGAGGCTGCTGACTGATAAAGTCCCTGGAGCCCGGCTGTCCTGACAGCGTGGCAGAAACCTGGCAAGAAGTGCTTGAGTACCTGACCCCTCACCGTGCTGCTCGCTCCCAGTGCTCATGGCCTAATCTGCAAGGAGCCACTAAAGCACTTTTCCCTCTCTTTCCTGTCTAAAATCTTAGAGCAGCTGAAAGCAAAAAAAAAAAAAAAAGCAGGAAGGCTCTGCTGCGTGCCACTTGCTGGCAGCGGTACCAGGCCACTACTGGATTATTTCTGTTCCGGGCTCTGATCCAGCATTTCTCTCCAGCACGTAGGAGAAGGGGCCTGCTGCAGGCAGCACGCAGGTCGTGGTCAGCGCCTGCCCTGCACACACAAGCTGCTCTGACTTTCAGGCTCTGGAGTGGGCGTTTGGGGTTTTCTGGCCATAACCTGTCAGAACACTTCTTACCAAACGCTGCAGCCCTCCCTTCCTGTCTGCAGCCACAGGCGTCAGCATGGCTCTGCTGGAGCTCCATCGAGGCCAGGCTGTGGTGGTCCAGTAAGAAGCGCAAGAATCCTCAGCAGGGCAGAGGCAAGGTAATCTCCACCTCCTTCACCTCATCTAGACCTCACAAACAAGTGTTGTATTTAAAATATCCCCTCCAGGCTATTGGCTTTGCTAGCGTGGCTATTTTTGTCAACCACATTCAGAATCGTGCCTTTAAGGGCCATCAGAGGAATAAAAGGCAGTTTATACTTTTTTTATTACAGTTTAATACAGTCTTTGATACAGGAGAAGCAGCAGTAGCCAACATGCAAAGCAATTAAAGTCATGGGGGGGGCTCAAGAATGATCACTAACAGCTCAACTCTTTTAAGTAATTGCTCTTTCACAAGTGGCACAGATTCATCCCTAGGAGCCCGCTTCCCTAAGTGCTGCCGTTCGATCATGCCCCACAGTGTGATGAATTCATGGCGGATACCAAACCAACACACAACGGTTAGGAGGAGGGGGACTGGTCTTTGATTTCGTCTTTTGATGAATCAAGTCAGTTATTTGACGAGGGTTTGCTAGAAGTATGCTTTGAGACCGGGAGGCCACCTTAAATCTTGTCTCTGCTGACAGCCTGCAGCGAGGAGGTTTCCTTCAGGACGAGGTGATGGCTTTGATGCCGAGCCAGCAGATTAACCCCAGGTACTTGGCTGCAGTTTACCTGTTCCACAGAGCTGAGACCTCTTAGTCAGCAGGTATTTTCAACGCAAGTGACGGATGTTTAGGCTAAAGATTTCAACCAGAGTAAGAGAAATCTTCACAAACAAGTAGAAACAGATGTCCCCGTGAAGAATGAGGTGCGTCAGGCCTGGCCTGCCCTTGCAGGCGGCGGAACAAAATGCCACCCGACTCCCTCAGAGCAGTTCATCTGAAGAGACACTATGTCCTCCTGCACCTCTTCCTTTGGCAGGCCTCTGCATCCGAGCCACAGGAGCTATCTGAGTCGCTTCCTGACGATGAGGAGGAAGGCTTTGATGTGCTATAGTTCATGCTTAAGACCCACCCCAGTTTGTTGTGTAGCACTTGCTTGAGTCCTGGTGGCAAGGGCAGCACCTCCAGCGTGTCCACATAGTTGGGCAGGAGCTGGCGCAGGCGGTAGCAGCAGAGGTACTGGAGAGACGTGCAGCTGGCGCAGGAGCGGATCACCTTCATGCTGCTCTTGGCTGCCGTCGAGCACACCATGGGGTAAAACTTCTTGTTCTGCAGCTTCGTAGCTGCAACCCCTGCAGGGGACAGCGTCAGGGAGGTTTCACGTTAGTTTTGACTTGCTTTGCCAGTATTTTCCCTTGCAGCCCAGCTGCAGCCAAACTTTTGAGTTCAGCTAAAGCTGCAGCACTCCAACCCATTCCCCTCTGCGCCTGAAGGCCACCGTGGCTGCCCTTGCTCTTACCTATGCACTTGCGGTTTTTGAAGAACGTGAGTGTCCCATGCCACGTGTCCAAATGCACCCCGATGATAGAGCCCTGGCCAAACCTCGAGGAGAAGTTTGTCTTGTCACCCTTGTGATGCAGCAGTCCTTAAAATGACACACCTTGCATTCAATAGGAAGTCTGCACTCCGCAGATCCGCCCCAATTCTCACATGTTTCACTGCAAGCTCCCTTTGGTACAGCCTGTAAGTGCCTACCAAAGCCTTCTGTCCCCTAACCACTCACTGACTGCCCTCCTCCTCAGGGTGCGTGATGGGAAGAGGGAAGCTGAGCTTCTGGAATACCAGAGCCCTGGCAGCAGCACTGAAACCTGCCTCAGTGATATTCAACCTGCAGCCAGAGGCCCTGGAAATTCACACGCTGGTTCTAAGGGGTCTGCAAAACGCAGGTACAGTTTGCTGCCCCAAGAGCTGGGAGCAGGAAGCAGTTTGTCCTACGCAACGCGATGCTTAGGCAAGCCCCACAGGCGTGCAGCCGCACTGGGGAAGTGAACAGGCAGCAGCTCATTATAGTTAACTACGTGATTCACAGGCCAGGTGGCCTTTCTGGCTGCAATCCCATTCAGGCCACTGAATTCCTGAACCTGTTGCTGGCTTCCCGGCTGCCCTGCCCATGTCACCTGTGTAGGAGAGTCCCCAGCTGTCCTCGTCCTTGCCCAGCAGGCTGCAGAAGGTGTGGCGGTACTTGTCCAGGTTCACGTCCGACGTCCCAATTCCCACCATCTGGGAGGAAGAGCACAGGCTTAGCACCTGCTGGGGGCACCGGGTCTCCCCTCCTCTTCCCTCCTTTATCGGCACAGCCCCACAGGTTGGGAATTTGGGTGAAGCCAAGCCGGGGGTGTCAGATCTCCCCTGAAGGGTTTGGCTGGTGCTCAGCGCTCGGGGGCCAGCATGAGGAGCAGCCTGAGCAGGACTGGGGGAGCTAACGGGGCTGTGGCCCCTGCATTAATTTTGGGGAGTGAGGTCGGGCCCTGGTCACAAGCCACACGAGCAGTGGTCACAGCAGGGCACCCATCCCAGCCCCACAAGAGGCAAGTTCCAGGCCTGGGGGCAGGAAACGACTCAGCAGCACCCAGCAGAGCCCTGCTGCTAACCACAGCCTGCCCAGACACTGCCCCGTGCTGAGGCCTGACCTTCGTCCTCACTGAGTTTATCGGTGGTGATCGACCAGTAGCGTGAAAGGGAAGCAAGAAAATCAGGTTCTGGTCCTAATTACTGTGGTCTCACCTAAAACCATTTACCCTCCCAGCTTCAATTTCCTTACTGCTAGGCGAGGACGCCCAGGTGAGCTGCTGGAGGAAGCCTGCTGCCCTGCTCAGCGCACAGCGGGCTTTTCTGCACGCCTGTGAGCAACCTGGCCCCACATACCATGTCCGTGCCATAGACCGGAGAGGTCATCTTGATCTCCCAGAAGTGCTGCCCGTCTGCCAGCTCCTTGTTGCCCCGGATGGCCGCGGTGCCGCAGCTGTACTCCATGTGGAAGTTCACCTTGCGGTTGTCGCAGGTCAGCAGGGTGGCCGTCGACTTGTTCAGGTCATCCCACACCCAGTCAAAATCTGTTCGGGAAGGACAGAGGGGACAAGGATGGGCAAAGGCCTGCAGGGAGCTATTTCCCAGACAAAGCGCAGATGGACAGTTGTTCTGAGGGCCTGTCAAGATTTACTTTTTTTTTTTTAAACCATTTAAGAGGTTAAATCCTAAGCTGTGCACACGGGAGAATTATTTGAGGGCTGAACTGTTCTGCAGTGTCCCAGCAGGGACAGTTCAATGCTCTCTCCTACCTGACACCACCAGTTCCTGTTCTGGCTAACACAGAGCTCCACAGACCTCCTTTCCTCCGAGGGAATCACACTCACTTCTCGTTGGCTCATGGGGCTAGGGTCAAAGCACGAGTACCACAGCAGTTCTGCTGTGCCACGGACTTTCTCAGCCAGCCCAGGCCCACCCTCTCTCTCTCTACCTTTC